TTGGCATGAAACATGATTGGACTGATGGGATGAGATGGGGCTACGGAATGCATATTGGAGTCCATTTTATGTGTTTTTTTTTTGTATATGCATTTGTGCTCCTCATTCTTGTTATTCATAGTTTCAGGTTACTAGAAAACTTAGCTTTATATACATTATCTTAATACTAGTCTAAGTACACCTTCACGAGTGCACCAGCTTAAGTACACGGCAATAATCATTGGAGTACCAGTGAGGTACGGCTGTAAATATTGATCCATTTTAATTATGAACGAAAATAACTTTGCCTGCATAATTGTATCTTCGTCCTTTTTTCTCTCTTCTTTCTGACCACTACAGTTTACAAATAAAATAATTTTTAAAGAGCACCGCCCTCAAATAAACCCCGAATCCAAAGCACAAAAAAACTGATGTAATAAGTGGTAGTCTATTAGGTACCATTTCTGCACCAGAATGATACCTACTGCATTATTGTGCGATATTCACAAGTGTCCTATATTCACCATCACCATATATAACCACAAGTGAGCACTAATTATCAGAAATTTAAGTGCAAGTAACTGAAAATTAACTTTATTATGTCCATTTAATCTTACTTCTCTGAATGAATCAGGGCAACCTAATAGAAAAAATATACTTGCAAGTGATGAACCAGGCGGGAATCGTAATCGTAGTATAAAGATTAATTCCCAGCATAACGTACGCAAAAGAGCCATATAGACAATAATATAGACATAAAATTTAGTTAAGAAGTACTAACGTTTCGTCTTTAACCTTAGACATCTTCAAGTAGAAGATGTCTTAAGATGTCTTAGGTTAAAGACGAAACGAAAGATGTCTTAGGTTAAAGACGAAACGTTAGTACTTCTTAAAAAAAATATACAACTTGTTATGCATTAATAATGTTGACATATACGGTATATAATATCCATAGATATCTTATATGCAGTATACTAGATATAGTGCATTTAATTATTCTGCAATACAAAAATTGAACTCGTGATTGCAGACTCAGGATATTCCCATGAAATGAGAAGACTCGTATGTTTTCTATTTCTTAAACAGGGAACTTAAACATTAAGTTAAACCTATTCCAAATACATTTTCAAATTGTTCAAATGATGAAAGTTATTGTTGTTTTGTGCGCTTATGTCACAAAAAATGTTTTTTGATATTTGATAGACAAAAAGTTAGTTAATAGGTTCTTTAACATTTTTCGGTTTTCTCTTTTCATTCGCGAGATACGAGGCTCTAAACAGCGATTTTCGTAAAATTGTCGCGTATCAACAAGAGTCTGGGACGAGCGTGGTGTGACGTAGCTTAAGGGACTTAATTTCGACGCGCATTATACATTTGATATATTTTCTAGCATGTCAGGCAGTAGCTCGGATTCGGAAAGTTCTCAATGTGACTCAGAATACAATTATATTCCTGGATATATTATAGAGGATGAATCAAATGATACTAGTCACGAAATTGGAACTCTAGAAGCAGTTGATAGCGAAATTTTAGGAGATTATGATGCATGCCTTTATGCCGGTGAACCGCTAGCGAGCGAAGAATGCTACGCGCGATATCTAAAAAATATACGGAACACAAGCAACAAAACGAGATGCTACAGCGAAGATTGGATGGCCTTGAAGATATTAAATTATGGTGAGTGTAAACATAGATTTATTTTAACATTTTAACGTAAAATAAGTATCTCTGGCTAATATATTTTGCGGGATACGACATCAGTCACATCAAAGAGTTAAAACCACACTTCCCTCACCTTCGCAAGAAAATACAAGACACGAGATCAAAGAAAATATAAACAGACTGGTTCAGAGCAAATTACGTATATATTCTTGTTTGAGGCTACAGTGTTTATCTGTGATCACGTTTATTTAATGTATTTTCTCCAGTGGCAAGTTTTCTTAGAGCCCATTTTTCCAAACAAATAGGTCTGAATCCCGAGTGTAGAGTGATACAGCACGGTGGCTGTGGCACATGTTCTTAAACCAAGTTATCCTTCAGAATTAACTTCCCTACAAGATTCCACCCCCTGACAGCACCAAGCTTCGTGTGTATATTGTATATGTAAATTATGTAATATCTATTATCACACAATCGCCGCATTTACACTTGTGAAATATGATACAGGTGAGGAAAGTGTGGTTTGATATGACTGATGCCGTATCAAAAATATATCAGCCAGAGATACTTATTTTACGTTAAAATGTTAAATAAATCTATGTTTACGCTCACCATGATTTAATATCTTCAAGGCTGTCTAATCTTCGTTCTAGCATCTCGTTTTGTTCCTTGTGTTCCGCATAGTTTTAGATATCGTGCGAAGCATTCTTGGCTCGCTAGCGGCTCATCGGCATTAAGGCAATGTGCATCATAATCGCCTAAAATTTCGCTATCAACTGCTTCTAGAGTTCCAATTTCGTGACTATTATCATTTGATTCATCCTCTATAATATACCAAGGAATATAATTGTATTCTGAGTCACATTGAGAACCATGAGTGCTGGAAAACATAGGTCTTCCCAATAGCTTTTTAGTACTCCTTCACATGTGAATTCGAACTTCCGTCCCTTAAGCTACGTCACACGGCTCTCGCCCCAGACCCTTTTCCGTTTTTTTCTCGGGCGCGACAATTTTTCGCTAAAAGCCAATTTTTCAAGGTTTAGAGCCTCATATCCCGCGAATGAAAAGAGAAAACCGAAAAATGTTAAAGAACCTATTAACTAACTTTTTGTCCTCTACCAAATATCAAAAAACATTTTTTGTGACATAAGCACTTTAACATTTTTTATAAAGGGGCAACCAAAGTTATTTTCATGCAAGAATTTGAAATCATTTTATTTCAAACTCAAAGTTTATCGATGAAAGGCAGTTTATCTTTAAGTACATTCTAAAACGTTTTGCGAAGCCTTTGTGGTTGAACTTTACATTAAATTGAAGCTTATATTACGTTTTATAACTTCTAATCGCTTACCTAACATTTATATGTTTGGGAAATTGATAATTTTGTAATTAGAAGTGATATCTTTCGGGGATATCTTCGTGGTTCCATGGCAACTACTTAAATACTTCATGCTCGGAAAATATAATTGTTTTGTCAGGAAGGCGAAGGTTTCTACATGCGTGTATTTCTTGTAAATTTTAATATTTCCGTTGATAATTTTGTAACATTGCGAACAGAAACGATCAAATCAGCATCTACTGAAACTACTGATCTACATATTGCAATTTGAATTCTCTAGGCCATCATTACACCAGTTTGGATTTTTTACCGCCACGTCCCCGCGGTCCTCAACAGCTGGAGGACTACAATACTTCAGACGAAATAGCGACTTCACCACAAGAGACTGACACTAGTGCAGAATATGAGAACGTGACAAGTGACGGGAAACCAGCTCCAGGCTTCTCGCGTGGTGTGGTGCGCTTCAGAAGAGATTACATGAACACAGGACCCGCGCGAAATTCATGGTATGACAGACTTCAGTTAATTCGACCATTTGCTATGGAGTGGCTTCGAAACGCTTGGGGAAATGTTGACGAGTTTGGCCGCCAAGTTTATGACGTCATGCAACGCGCACGACATGTTTTTGTCCCATACAACAAGTTGAGCAATCTACAACAAGGTGATTCAGCCGGAAGTGGAGTGGGGAAAGATGATAGTACTTATAGTTCAATGGAAAGACCTTCAGCAGCTATATTGCCCACAGAAAGCGAGAATGCGTCGACAACAGAAAATGTTTGATCTATCAGACTATCGAAGTATGGAATCTTGGTCCATCTGTTTGTAGAAACATGTCTTCTTTTTCCATTAATAATTTTATGATTGACTGTAGTGCTATAGGGAAAACTAGGAACCTTGTTGCGTAAATTACCTAAACCCCTCGATGGGCGAAAATTTTTTGACCATAGTTAGAACTTTGGAGGCAGCGCTCCAGGTTTTTTAGTTCAGTTTCTTTTTAAATAAATTGCAATTGCTATTTGCTAGTAATGAATATATGATTATTTTGCGGGGTTGTGTCAATATATGAGCATACGACTTGGTATTTGGTAATATTAATAATGATCTAGCTACTTGACAACTTTTGTGTTTATTTCTTTGTTTTGTTTTTTCTCATTACTGATTTATATCATATTCGAATTTCGAACCTAAACTATATATATTGGCGTTACTGTATAGATATTGGTCAGGTAACTTGAAAGATACAGCTTTCACACCTTTTATAATGAGTTTTAGAGCAACCATTAGCCTTTCCCACAAAACCCAAATTCGCCATTTTTGGGGTACTTTTTGGAAAACGACGTGAAAAATCTAAACGGTGTGAAAACATTTTTTCAAATATTTAACTGTAAATTAACGTATAATGATTATACTCACAATTGTAGTTGTACAAATCCCTTATTCACTGCGTACAATCTCAGATTTGGAAAAGGCAGCACCCCAAATTTCAGAAGGAACAGACGTTACTATAATAACCAATTTCTCAGCTATTTCTCTATATGCGCAATATTTTTTGCTCAGCAGAATCTTAGTGAGAATCTCTTTCAACGTGTCAGCAACACCACGGCAGATTTTGCAGTGGTCACACGTACCCACACCAATTAGCCTTTCTCACGAGGGCTAAAACCCTCCATTTTTGTGGGAATGTCTGCCCAAGTGAAAGATTGAAACAGCGTGAAACGCGACTTTTAATGATTGTAATTGTAAATTTACCACTATACAACTACAATACTAAAAAGTTGTATTTCGTGGTGCGGAGACTCTCAAACGTGGGAGAGGCAGTACCCCAAGAATGGCGGAAAAATCGTCCGTAAGAAAGACTAATTTGGTCGTCGCTGGCTTCATTTATGCATAGCAGATCTCCAATATGAGGCATAGATTATATTGGTTCAGTGTTACTACAGGTTGACAGTAAAACCTAAAATAGGTTATGTACGTAATTAGAGAGAGGGTAGGACCATCAGTTCGCATCGATTATATTGGTTCAGTGTTACTACAGGTTGACAGTAAGACCTAAAATAGGTCATTTACGTAATTAGATAGAGGTAGTACCATCAATTGTAAACCCTTCTTCCATTACTGTTCATTTTTTTTTACTCAATGTTGTAACTTGATTATCCAGAGAAAACCAGCGATGTTTGGTAGATTTTTGCAAAATAGAAAAAAGGTAGAGTCTTAGGTCACCCGTAACTTATGGACAGGCTTTGCGATTGGCTGAAATTAATAATAAAAGACAATACACTGTCAAAATTTAAAACAAGAACGACTTATAAACGCTCATATTTTTTATTTCAGAAAGGGAACTATTTAAAGGGAACGATGAATTAGCGCTCCTGGCGGAAAGGTAAACAATTGCTAATTTAAATAAAAATGAATAATGTCCTTTAAAAGTCGAAGCTGAAAAAAACCTGGATTAAAATCCACGTTTCATTTACGGCAATATCTTAATCTTAAACTGTTCTTAGCATTTTGGATAGCAACTTTAAGTAAGGAGAGCAGCTTTGGCATGGGAATTTAGTTCACCCCTGCTGCTATCCAACCATCTAGTTTTGTTTTATTATTCTTGCTTTTGTTGGGCTTTTTTCTCTGGACTGCGTTGTATTAATTGGTTTGTTGTCTGAATTTTTTATTCCTCTTTATTTTGTTACTTTATTGGCTAAGTGTTATTAGTATAAATATTGCATGTCAAATGTGCTTTCGCGCGTTCTGATTGGCTAGCTGACTAGTAAATCTGAGGCATTATTTACCACCTGGGTAGTAAATAATGGTTTTCAAAAAGAATGATTCGCCAAATTTGGTTTCAAAATCGACAAAATATTGAAAAAATCTACCCCAGAAAACGAAAGAAGCACAAAATGTTGTATTTAACTTGAAAGGTAGGATTTCTTTATTATTTTACTGTGTCAAACATATTCACTGACAATTTAAAACTTATTTAAAACTCCAAAACATTCACTTCAAACAAATAGCAAAAACCATCCCGACTTTTGGGAAAAACCTTTGCCGTGATATTCTTTAAAATCCATTTTATTCTGTATGCTATACATTTCCAAATTTGTACGATACTATTTCTTTTGATATGTCATATTTTCATTGTGCTGCATAGTGTTCTGACCGCTGTATTGCGTTTTCGAAACTTGTAAAGTAAAAAGAGTTATCAGTAAAAGACTAAAATTTTATTTCGAACGATGTAGTTTTACATTTCATTTCGAAATTCCTCGGCCATTTCCTGAAGAAATTAATGCTAAACAGAAACTATTTTTAATTATGGTGAAAAGAGTCATTCCGTTTTTGTGTTTATATTAGAAGCCATAGCCAGAAATGACATACAGCATGCTGTTCATATTGTGGGCGCGTATTTAGCCTAATTGCATATTTAAAATGGCGGACAAGTTGAGGAAACACATACCTCTGATAAGTTAAATTAATAAAAACTTAAATGCTCTTTCTACTGCATATTTAAAAAAAAAAGGGCTCAAATGGCGGACAAGTTGAGGAAACATACCACTGATAAGTTAAAATAAAAACTTAAATGCTCTTTCTACTGCATATTTAAGAAAAAATAGGGCAGAAAATTCCCCTTTTTGCTTCATATGGCAATAAGCATTCAAGAAAATAAATTTTCCACGGTTGAAACGATTTTAGCGGCGAAGTCTGAGACATTTTTCCACAAATGAGTATTTTAATTTTTTAAAACTGTGATGTCAGTTTAAATTTGCCGCCACTTTTTGCTGCCTCTTGATCACATAATGGGGCATGAAGTACTTGAAAAGGGGTTCAGCTGACCCAATAAAACGCAGAAAACAAAATGGCTTCAATTGCACAGAAAGCAACACAGTTTAGCACGTTTTTGGATGGTTTTGCAAAGTTTAATGACTCCATTTGGTGATTTACTACGCTTGAAAATATGGCAATTTCAGATGAAAAAGGCACCGGTTTTAAGAGCTCGTCAAGGTAAGATTTTGTTTTATTTAACACGCCGAAGTTGTTTCGTTTTGAATGTGGCGTTGGGCCGGTTGGGGAACGCGAGTCAGTTCAATCATGATTCTCCAAAATCAGAGCAAGTTCTTGTGGCAGAATCCATTTTATTGATCATTTCTCATGTTTTGCTCTACAAAAGCGATGAGAATTTGAACATAAGGGAGCATTCATTTTTTAGCTGGGGGGGGAGGGGGGAGGAACTGATGTCTAATTCCATGCGAAAACTTGGAACCCCCAAGACAAAAGTTGATAAAAAATTATGACCCCCTATTTTTTTTACTGAAAATTTTTTGACCCCTCATCCTAACTATTAATCCACACGGTGTCGTTTCCATAGCGTTTCGGGGCCGTAGGAAGCTCTTTGTGATTGGGGGCTGAATGCGACGGCCTAACGCCCGAGGAAATTTTTAAATGTAGAGTCTCCGAAATGCCATTTCCTCGCCTTTGTGGGAAGATTTGACAGAATTCTGATTGTCAGAAAACAGCGTTTTAGTATGTCGAAATTGACAATTTGGTAGTACTAAATGGGCAAAGGCGTACTTAATTTACTATATATTCGATAACTAGGACAAGTTGCAGGAAACTGTCGGTACTATCTTCATTCTTTGCAGTTTGTCATGGATAATGTAGCCGCTTAAAATTAATAAAGCTTAAAATTGATCAAGGTCTGCATGATTTTGAAGTCATGCAGTCCTTGAAATCATGCGTGATTTTGAAATCATGCTACGGTCCTGCGTTTTCTTTCATTCATGTTTTCACACAAAAACGGATAAAAACGAAGTCAATTGACGAACGTCATGGAAATGTTTTCCTATGGACTGTGTGAACAGAGTGTCAAATGAATTTTGCTTCATTGTTATAGATGACGAGATAGTTGATAGATTCTGGACCTTTTTACCATTCTTGATCCAAATATTTCCAAATTCAATAAAATCATATTGGTGATTTTTTCACTGATTATTTTTATGACCCCCTCCATTTATACCAAAACTATAAAAAGACCCACCCCTTTGAAGCATGTCAAAATTGGCTGACCCACCCACAAATTCCTCTGGTCCACCCCCTCAGCTAAAAAATGAATGCTCCCTAAAAAGGCATTGCTTAAAGTTTCATTATTTTTAAATTCTGTTGAATTAACTTGTTGGCCAACAAGTATTTAATTGATTTAAATGCTGGGAGAAACGTAGTTTTGTATCACTGGGACAATCTGCTAAAAATACTGTCGTTCTTTGTCAATTCATATATGTTTTTGGCTGCCATATTGAATTCTGAGCGGGCATATTTTAACTAATGTTTGCAGCCATGTTGTATGAGATTTCTGGCTATGCAGAAATCAAGAAAAACCTTTGTAATAAAGCAATAAAGTCACACAAGAAGCCATTTTGAACGCGTGTGTGTACAAGGAACACTGCAACACTATTATTGAACACGAAAACAGTTTTATTTCTGAAATTTAATTGAACTGATATTCGGATATTTTGTTTTATTCATTAAAAATTTATACTAAAACAATTATTTGCCTCAGGCTCAGTGATAACGGTGAATATTCAGCAGTATAATCACTTCGCCTTCGGCGGATAATTGTTATTTATATGGCAAGCATCACTTCTGGCCGTGAAATGGCGGATCATTATTTACCCATGGCGGTCCATTACGCAAAAACAAACGCAAAACTAATTGACAATTTAAAAATTATAATTTAATTTGTTATTAAAAGATATCTGGGAATGGTTTTTAGTGAAAAAAAAGGAATAGGCTACATT